GAGAGAGAGAGAGAGAGAGAGAGAGAGAGAGAGAGAGACAGAGAGAGACAGAGACAGAGAGAGAGAGACAGAGACACTGGCACAGAGAGACAGAGGCAGAGAAAGGAGGAGAAGGGAGGGAAGAAAGAAAGAAAGAGGGGCCGGGGAGATGGCTCAGTAGAATAAGCACTTCCCTGGCAAGCACAAGGGTCTGAGTTCAATCCCCGGTTCCACCAAAAAAGAAAAAGAGAGAGAGAGAGAGAGAGAGAGAGAGAGAGAGAGAGAGAGAGAGGAAGGAAAAGAAAGAAAGAAAAGAAGGAAGGGGCTGGAGACACAGCTCAGTGTAAAGGCCCTGGGTTCAACCCCTAGTATTGCCAAAAACACAATTCTGTTCACAGAATTCATGGAAAGAATTCAGTTCATGATCCGGGGTCATCAGGTTTTAACAAATGTGTCACACTGAACAAGACGGTAGCAGCAGCGGGAGAGTGTGCACAGCGCATAAGGGAGCTCTGGCCAAGGCCCGTGATCCCATGGAAAAGTTACTGGCATTCTGGTGAGCTAATTTCAATCTACCGCTTCCAGCGAAACCCATGGCAAGAATAAAAATACAAGGCATCTGTGTCACTGTGGGGAACCTGAGTCCAGCCTGCCGATGGCTACTGGGGACAAGGACCTCGGGAACCGAGGTCTTACACCATTCATAAAGAAAGCAGGGGCTTGAGGACCAGGGACTAAGACTGGCAGGTTGTAGGTGAGTACCGTGAGCTGGGCCAGGTGGGAGGCCTGAAATCACCCATGCAATCCGCAGAGAGAAGGACAGGCGAGAGAGTAATCTGCAGGACACCACCAAGGTAGCACGTGACGTCTGGGGGCCAGTGCTTTGGCTCCAATGCGCCGTCTTTTCTGCCCTGGTAAGTTGTAGCCTCTTCTGCCACTCATCGCAGCAGATTGCGTGGGGCTTTGACTCTCCATCCTGCCTCACCCTGGCTCACACTGCCCGCCACCATTGCTTCAAAGCCTACACAGCAGCTCCGTGGCTGCACCAACTGAAGGGCAGAGGAAAAGTCCTAGCCGGCTCTGCACACATCCGTACTTGGAAACAGGATCAGGCTCAGCCAAAATGGAGACAATCGCTCCTTCTTCCCCCAGGTGGTCCTGCACACAAGCCAATGCTGTTCCAAAAACGAAGTCCATTAATTCCTAAAAACCAAAAGATGGGCCTGCCAGATAGCTCAGAGGACTAAAGCGCCTGCTTAGGCAGAGCGCAGCAGCTAGGGTTCGAATCCTGGCCTGCTGAGCTGGCCCCACCTCGGGGCGCACTGAGACCTCAACATAGACTGGGCGTGGTGGTGCGTGCCTGCAATCCCGGTGACTGGGAGGCTGAAAACAGGAGGATCACTATGAGTCCAATCTGTGTAGTGAGCCCCTGTACACCCTATAAACCTTCTCCTAAATTTATTTAAAAAAAAAAAAAAAAGATAAGTGTGTATTAGGCGCCGAGCTGAGGAAGAGGTAAGGCTTGGGAAGTCCCTGGATCGCGAGACTGAGATTTAATTGTTTGGGAGCCTCCAGGCCTACTCCAGGGTCAGACAGCAGCGGGGAGGATAACATTTAGACCCCTGAATAGTGGAAGTATGCACAAGAAGATAACCTCCCCTCTGCCACCTCTCTTGGGCCTCAGGACAAAGCCCCGCTCCATCCATTAAGCTTTTTATTTTGACATAACCTCTGACCTACAGAAGAGTTGCAGAGGAGTCCGCTGAGTTCCTGTAATCCCTCCCGCCACCAGATTTCCCAGATGTCTGTTTCCACAACTGACCACAGCTGTGGAGCGCTTTCTGATCTTATCAGCAGTCTTCGAGCCTCATTTCACAATCAAGCAGGCACAGAAGGAAAAGGCTCCGACTCTGTGCTTTTCATCTTTACTGCAATGAGCACTTACTCAGCACCTTGTATGCTCCACGCTTTGTCCGAAGTACTTCTCCCCTTCAGTCCTGGGATTGCACTGAGCTACCCAGCCCTTGACTCATTTTTCATTTGGAGACAGAGTACTGCAAATTGCTTAGTTGCCCAGGATGGGCTTGGGCTTGGTGATCCTCCTGCCTCAGCCTCCCAGCGTTCTGGGATTACTGACATATGTGCCCAACACCCAGCCGTGAGCACTTTCATGTGCACCTGGCCTTTTTCCCCCAGCGCAGCACTGTGTAGTGGTTTAGAATTCTCTCTGCTTTTCAGAGGGGAGGAAGCGCAGGGAAGACGAGTCCTGCCGCCCAAGTCACGATGTGGCCAGCAGGAAGCAAGGCTGGCACGTGGACATAGGACTAAGTTGGCAAACAAGGGCGATGTAAAGACCTAGAAAATGGCCTGGGAGCCCGAGTTGGGGGACCAGACAGCATCCAACCCAAACTCACATTCTGAAGGCGATTCCAGAGGGCACACATTCAGGCTCAGAGCCAAAGATGCTCCCGGTTTTCCAGGGGGAGCCTGACAGGCTGAGCTGGAAGGAGGTAAAGAGCCTGTGCTCACGCATATGTGCCCCACTGCATGGGAGTGGGCCTGGGTCACAGTGGACCCTGCCATGGGAGGGAGTGTGTGACAGGGGCTCACGCGTGTCTGGACAGTTCCTGCTCCTCTCCAGCCAGCTTTCTGGAGGCCTTGCCCAGGCCCCCTGCCCTGGGCCGCTCAGCCTGGGCTCATCCTACTCAGTCCCCTAATTCTCACTGCTCCAGCGGATCCCCAGGCCCTGGGGGTCGGGGCTACAGGTGCCTCTCATTCTCCTCCTCTGCTCCCCTTCCCTACTGAATCACCAGTCGCTTTCAGGGGCCACTCCCTCCAGGAAGTCAACACACACAGAATCAATCCTCTGGGATTAACCTGCTGGTGTCTGGAGTCTCCAGGACAGCAGGGCCTTTGTCTGTGTCATGTCTGCACCCATCTTGGGGTGCAGCACACAGTAGGGCCGACATAGCGAGTGTTTGGCAGAATGCCGCAAGAACTGTGCTGCTCCTCTGGCTCCCTCCCCCACCCCCGCTCTTCTTCAGGGTCTCAGCTGCTGGTCCCTGCTGCAAGAGGCCTCCCGTGAGCTCCTGAGCTGCCCACCTAAAGGGTATGTTCTCAGGAGGCTTATTACAGGCCACACTGCAGTTTCTTCCCCACCATCTGGCTGCCTCAGAGTTTTCTGGTGAACAGTGGTTGGGAGTCTGTAGAGCCCAGGGTTCAAATCCCAGCTCCACTGCTTAAATGCTGTGTGATTCCGAGCCAATTTCTTACCAGCTCTGTGCCTTGGTTTCCCCACTTGTAAACAGGGCGACTGCCAACTAACACCCTCACTGGGTAATCTCGAAGATTAAGTTTGCCCATGTGTGAAGGGCCTCGGCGGCACAGGGCCTGGCAGTGTGCTGGCTGCTGAAGGGATCCCGGTCGCTTTGCCAGTTTTCTAGCATAAACATTTCTGGAAGAGTGAGCAAACGCTGGTGCTTGGAAGACACGCTGCTGGAAAGGCAGGATTCGAGTAGTGCGGCCCTCCGATCCCAGATCCCAGCTCGAGGCCCCTCCGCAGATCCGGGCCAGGGACCCGGCGGGAAAGGCCGGGAAGGCCGCGTGAGCCACTGCAGGCTCTAGGCAGCAAACGTGCTGGGGTGCCAGGCTGCAAGGCTGGGCTTCTCGGGGGCGTGGCCTGGTGCGTAGGGGACGGTGCATGCAAACGAAAGGACCGGGCGTGCAGATACAAGGCCACAAAGGATCGTGCAAATACGCGGGGTGTGGGGTGGGGCATGCAAATTAAGGGCGGGGCTCAGGAAGCCGGCAGGGAGGGCGGGTGCATCTCCAGCCCAGGAAAACCCCGAGCGGCGCGGGGCAGCCCGGCGACCTAGGTCGCCCTCTTCGCGCTCCGGCAACGCGGCGGCGAATGGAGCAGGAGCGCGCAGGTAGGGACGGGGCCGCGCGCGATCGCGGCGGAGGGCGGCCTCCCGGGCACGCGGCGAGCGCCGAGAAAGGCTCGGACTCCCGGCTGAGGGGACCCGGGGATGCCCCGGCCCTTTTGGGCAGGGGACGCCGCCCGCCGGGCCCGCGCGGACCGAGACGGCCGCGGGCTCTGGGACTCGCAGGGGCCATGCGTTTGAGGGTGGGGACAACCGGAGCCCGGGTGAGGCTGGCAGGAAGTGGGAGAGAGTAAGCGCGCTCGGGGGTCTGTCCTGGGAAGGGTCTCCCCGCCACCAGGTCCGGGCAGCCCGCGACTCGAGGCGGGGCCCACCTCGGGGCGCCTGCTCCGGGCCATGGGTCGACCCAGTCGCCGAGATCCCGTCCTGGGACTTTGGGCCGTGTCCTGGTGGCAGAAAGTGTTCTGAGTGAAACCGCAAGCGGCTTACCGCCCAGGGCCGGGTTAGTCACTAGCTCCAGGTGACTGGGGCTGTCCAGTGCCGGATGGTGTGGAACTAGCCAGGTAACCTGATTCTCCATGCAGAGCTCGTGCAAGAGGCTACCGGGCCCTTTCCCCTTTTCAGAGTGAATAAGCCAGCGAGTCAAGCTTTTACTTTTGAAAATTGTGTTCTGGGCAAGCCTTGATGGACTCAGGGGTTGCCCCCAGGCCAGCTCTAAACCTGCCTGGATCTGGTCTCTGCCCCTCCTTAGCCCCCTGGGAGATGCAGCTTCTGCTACAGTGGCCCTTTAGGAGGCCTGGTTATGTGATAAGACGTTAGTCCCATCCTAAAGTCCGCTGGGGAAACTGAGGCACCAATGTGTTCTGGCCAGGTTGTTCCACACCACAAAGGGATACCAGAACACGGCCCAGGACTCTTGGGACTTAGCCAGGCAGCCCACAGTACAGATGAGGACCCCAAGGCACTGAGTGGGAGTGACCAGTTGAGCTCCCTGGCTGTTTCAGCCCCTGGCAGAGCCGGTTGGCAAGGGGAATGCTTCCAGTGCTCTGAGCGCGGAGGGGGTCTGGGGCTGGAGCTAGGGCACAACAGCAGGTCCCATAATCAACTCCTTTGGGAAAGGGACCCTAGAGTGGAGTGGGGGGTGCTGGACAAAGGGAGGCAGTTGGGCAAGGGGCTCTCTGAGCAGTGGGCTCAGTGCGGAGGGACTGGGGCAGGGAGATGGGGAGGGGGCTGTGGGAGCCTAGGAGAGATAGAGAGGGCCAGCCCTGGAGGCCTTGAGTGCAGCAGAGAGCAGCCGGGGACAGTGGACCTCGCCTTTTAATGAGCCACAGAGGCACAGTGTGGAGGCCTGGGTTCCGCCCTCCGAGCCTGGAGGAGGCCACCCCCAGGCAGCCTGGAGGAAAGCCCCAGTGAGTGAGGGCCCAGTTATCAGCAGGTCAGGTCTGGGGTAGCCTGAAGGTCTGCAGCGTCTGCAGTGACTCATCTGTGGGGTGAGTGTGTGTGTGTGTGTGTGTGTGTGTGGTACTGGGGATTGAAGCCAGGACCTTTGTACTGAGCTACATCCCTAGCCCTTTTTAAAAATTTTTATTTTTTAATGAGCCAACATCTTATTACATTACTATATTGCCCAGGCTGGGCTCACATTTGAAATCCTCCTGCTTCAGTCTCCCAGAGTGCCAGAATTATAGGTGTGTCCCATCACACCTCACTCTGGCTGCTACAACAGGATCCCAGGGCTGCAGAATCTGGGAGGAGCCCAGGGTTTCCAAGGCCATGCAGTTTCCAGCTGCTAGGAGTTAAGGGGGGGAAGCTGAGAGGGGAGGAGCAAGAAGCATCCCCCACCGGAGGCCAGAATTAGCCTATTTCCACCTTCTCCTGTCTCCGCGGCATCAGGGTGGGGACAGACGGGAGCCCCCAGGCTGGCTGGGTTTCCTCGCATGGACATTCATGGGTCTACAACATCATGGTCCAGCACACAGTAGGTCCAGCACATAGTAGGTCCACAGTAGTTTTCCATCAGTTGCCACTTGTCAGGAGATGTGGCTTGGAAGTCTAACGTGAGGACTCCAGAGCAAGACTTACCAGATTCAAATGCTGGCTTTGCTTAACTTGCTATGACCTCACTTCTCAAAACCTCAGTCTCTGGTTTGTGACATTCTAGGGACTGCTTTACACTCCACTGTGATGATGGTTACCTGAGTTGATTTCTGTCAAACACACTCAAAACTTAAGCAGGTGTGTAGGAAGCACTTTGTGCTCACTCAAGAAACATGTCTTTATTGTCCTGACCTGTGACCTCCAGCAGATAGGACTGAGTTGACTCATTCTGTAGATTTTGAGGAAACTGAGACTGGGGCCCGGTGCTCAGTGGCCTTGCACAAGGTCCACGTCTGAGCAACAGAGGAAGCGATTCGAAGCCACTGCCCTTCTACCCACGTTCTCCTGGCTGAGGGCTGGTGGTCAGTGTGGGGACCTCCCTGGCACCCTTGACCACACTATTCACACCCTAAGCTTGCTGGGAGGTTGCCCAGACTTGTCCTCTCCTGAGTCCACCTGGCGCACCCCGTGGAGGTTTGCGGTCCCCCCTTCTGAGGACGCAGCATCAGGCTGTTGGTGGTCCCTGTAGGCTGGTGACTTGGCTGGGTCTCTGGGCCTGTGGTGGAGAGATGGCTTCAGGCTTAAAGACAGGGGTCCTAGGTTCCTTAGATCTGGGCTCCCTGCTTCCTAACCGCGACCCAGGGGCAGTTGCTTGGCCTCTGAGCCTCCCTTTGTTTGTTGATAGCATCTGGGATGACAGTGTGGTATGCCCTGGCGGGGCCAGACAGGCCATGCACAAATACACACAGCTTTCAGCTCCTATGCCAAAGTCCACCGGCTCTGAAACACAATTTGCCATAACCGAATTGGAAGCCAGCTGTGGCCTGAGCTGAGGGCGGGCTCAGCGGCGTCTGTGCCCTGCAGGCTGGGAAGACACTGAAGACCTGGGCAGTGACCCTCCCGTGCTTGATCAGCGGGCACTGTACCAGGGCCGGGGGTGGGAGTGGGCGCGGCCAGGGGTCTGGGATGCAAGATGACCCCCACCCCGCTGCCACCAACCGCATGGTTGTGAATCCTGAGACCTGCCTGGCGTGGGATTTGGCCGGCACCATCTTGTCAGGTGGTGACGGTGCCTGAGAGAGGGTGGCAACAGGGCAAGCCCCTCTCAGAGGAGGTGGCATTGGGAGCAACCAGGGGCCCAGGCTGGTCCAGCAGGCGGAAAGTCTCATGCAGAGCAGGAGGACCCCACTTCCAGGTGCCCCATGCTCCCCAGGACGATTCCATCTAAACACTCTGCTCCTCCTTTGCATGAAGGACTGTGGCTCTGAGGCTCCTGCCTTTCCAGGAAGGGCTGTCAGCTCTGAGGTTTTGGTTTCTTCTGACTCATTCTTGAGCACAGGGCCCCCAGGGCCTCCTGGCCTGCCCTGGCCTGCGAAGAAATCTGGAGGGAGCTCTGCACCCAGGGTGGCACCAGGGCCTGCCTGGCTGAGGACTCGCTCTCAGCTGGGCACATCTGGAAAGGGTGCGGGAGACGCAGAAGTGGTCCAAGGGCCAGGAATAGTCCACGGCCCAGAAGTGATCCAGGAGACAGGAGTGGTCCAGGGCCAGGAGTGGTCCAGGGGCTGAAAGTGGTCCAGGG